CTCGATGAAGACCCACTGGAACCCAATGACGGCTCCTTCCTTGGCACCGACAGGTCATCGAGCATGGTGAAGTCTTCCAAAGTAGCAAACTCAACCGCATCCAAGAAGCCGTGGATATCAGCCACCCATTGTGGACTCAACATACCGGCCTCGCGAATCATGGCATCCGAAATTTGAGGAGACCCGCTAATGTCGATCGCTCCAAGTTCGTCTATCTGATCACTTTTCGCAGCTCGAGAACCATCACCCCCGGAATCTCTCTCGACCCCCCTAGCTTAGGGCAGAATGGGCTCTACCCTATCTAGCTTAGAAGCATGAGCCAAAGCTCTCTCACCGACCTCTTCATGTTAGGATGTTTCAACTTCAGCGCCCGCATGTTCGTTAACTTCTTATATAGTGACACCAGACCGTAAGCGGGCCACCAGTTTGGATTTATCTTCCTCTTCTTCTTCTTTGGACTCATCCTTTAATCAACGGATTGAGTCCGAGGACATAGCACTAGTGTCTCCCTCGAGCTTGCGCGACCTCTTCTTCGGTTTCTTCTTTTTCGAGCCCGGGAAACTCAGAGCCCTTTTCCTTTTCTTCTCTTTGTCCTACTTTGGAGAAGGTGGTTGGGGAAGGATTTCTTCTCCAACAAATGGGGGCCTCATTGCAACATTCTTCCCAAGGCCTAGAAAGGAAAAAAGATAAGTAAGCTCAAGAAGAAGGCCAAACGATAACTGTTCTACGAAAAAACTTACCATGATTGCGGGCCTCCCATCGACCCTGTGATAACTCCATCCAAGCACGCTCGGAGTATGGTCTCTGTGACACTAGGCCCTCGACCGATTGCTTGAGTTCGGGAACTACGTCTGGCACCTGGGCCACAGCTGCAACACCAAAAACATAGATGAGGAAAGAAGATAAGAAGTAAAATAGCAAAATTTAACATTCAAGGCGAAGTACTACTCACGATTCGTGTTCCATTTCTCAGGAAATGACATGTCTTCAGCAGGGATCAGGTCTGAAGTCCTTATTCGGACAAATCATCCCATCCAACCTCAGTCATGAGCCTCATCTATGCTCAAGACGAGGCCTTGCTATCCTGACGAGCAAGCTTGATCATCCCTCCTCGATAGAGTCGAGGACTGTAAAGGTGCATAAGGTGATCGTGGGTAAAAGGACATCCCTCGATTTTGCTTACAAAGAATTGGAGGAGAATCACTATTCTCCAGAAAGAAGGATGGATCTGTCCAAGGGTCACATCGTACCTATTGTAGAAGGCGATGATGATAGGGTCTAAGGGACCCAACGTGAAGGGGTAAGTATAAACACTTAGGAAACCTTCCACGTGGGTAATGATCGATTCCTCAAACAAAGGTACCACCACATACNATATATATATATATACCTCGAGACCGGTTCACATCGACCCGATACCGAGGATTCTTTTCAATCTTAAAATCAGCAATAGTAGGGCACCCTTGAAACGAAATCCTCAAGGGGATATTCTGCCGCGCTCCATCGCCGGTGGGCAGTGATGAAGAGGTGGCCTCTTTTTGTGGTACAATCTTAGAAGTTTTCTCCATTGTAAAAGAAAAAAGAATTAGGATGGTATGCGGTTTGATAAAAGTTCAAGAAATTTGGGTTCAAGAATTGCAAAGCAAAGAGATTTTTGAAGAGAAACAAGAATGGGAGAAGCTTTGAACGTAAAGTCTGAATAGAGGGAGGTTACTGTACTTATAGCTTGCCGCTGTCGTTTCAGAACTAATGGTGGTCGACCAGCAACTGACAGACATTTAATATCTTGGTAACTGGACCGACGAGACGTTTCAAGTTTTTGCTTATGTCATGATCGGGTGTATCAGTGACGTTCGTTGCTTACGTCATGACCCATCGAGACGGAGCTCGAAAATTCATATCGCTTCTCGTCATCTTCTTTCCGAGAAACAAGGGGACTATTTGTATACGGTCAAAACCGGGCTTGCCCTTCGTATGAGTAATCAAGACTGAAACATGATCGGCCAAGGTTCAACCTCGTATTATATCGAACCATGGTGCAAAGTTAGATCGCCTAGCTCGTGACCCAGAGACCGATCAAGATCGAGATCGTCCAAGATCAAAACCGAGCAAGATAAGGATCGAGCGAGATCGAGGGAAGCTTAACGAATCAAATAACAGAAAGCCGAAATATCCGCAATCGGGTGAGGATCACGGCGAAAATTCCAGCATGTATCAAGAAGAGGCCGATTAATTAGTTAATCATGAGATTTCTTAACTCATATAGAATTGTATCAAGAGTAGGACTCCTCTACTATATAAGAGGGTCTGATCATTTGTAAAACACATCATTCTTACGCAATACAGTGTCATTTTCTAGCTTTCATTATCTTGTTACTATGTTCATCAGTCAGTTGAAACATCTTTTGGTTCAAGGGTGACTAAACTCGAGGGCCAAGACTATTCAATTTGTGTGGTTTGCATTTATTCTTTTATCATCAATTTTATTATTAATTTTTTCTTCTTAATTTGTACTAAGTAATATCACATATCCTTAAAATCGCTTATAAATTCATTTGTCATCTGATTTTAGCGGAAAAAACTATATGTAGTAGTACTGTTGCATTTTTGTTAAATTATTTAAAGATCAACGATAAGATTCACAAGAGATTCATAAATTCTAGTTTGACACAAGAGCCTGGATAAAGTGACCCTACTTTAGCCGGTCCATCTTTTATTCCACTTTCCCCATCTTTTCAGTGAATACTTTATTTATAGAAAAGATGTTCTTTGAGGAAAAAGAGGAGAATAATTCTCCTAGGATTCAAGCTCCCTTTTCTATTTTTTTTCCCCGATGCTTTTCACTAGCCTTTTCTTTTTTAAAGCAAAGATACAACAGTTGTAGTCTCGTGGGATGTTCACTGGCTTTCCGATATATTGTCATGTGCATCTACAATTTGAATAGCTAGTAAGAGGGGATCAGTAAAACTGGAACTGGCCCGGATCACTAAGAGGGGGCTGGGTGGGGCTGGGTTAAAGGGGCAGGGTGGGTTGGTCCGTTTACTTAAATTTTACCGGTTAACTGGACCGGTCAAACCTTGTCAACGGTTTTTACTGTTCAACCGATTAATCGGCTCGGACCGATATAACGGCTACATTTTTTTTAACAGTGGGCCTTTTCTTACCGTTGGCAACGGTCTTCTGCCCTTATGGCCGTTGCCCAACGACAGATTTTCACAAATAACTCATTTTGGGTTTTTTTTTAAAAAAAATTAACACCTTTTGTAATTACCTAATTACCCCCTTGAAAAAGTATAAATACACCCTCCCCCCTTCTTCATTTCTTCACTCATCTTTCATTTTTCAAACTCATATTCTTAATTATCATTCTCTCATTCTTAACCTAAAGTGTAATTAAGTATTTGGCTCTCATTTTTTTGGGAATTTTATTTATCGTATTATTTAATATTTGAAGTTTGAAAATTGAACAATTGACGTTTCTTCCTGGTAACATTGGAGTTGCGAAATCATCAAATGTTCAATTTATTGCCGAATTCGGTGCACTCCCTCCAACTCTTTCTCTTATTTACTATTTTATTTGCATATTTAATTGTTGCTAGTAGTTAAATTTTTACAATATGTTTAATTCTACAAAAAGAGTTTGTAATAAGGTTACTAATCGGGAAAATAAAAAAAAGGAGGCAGTACTTTAGCATCTGGTAGTAATTTAAATGACTCTACAAATATTCCTGAAACATTACTTGATAATAATATAGATTATGAACAATTCCAGGAAGATTTCAGTATAGAAGATAATGAATTAGAAATGGAAGATGAGATACCACTTACACCTAGTAGTGTTGGAGCTGGTAGCAGGGGTGGTGGTCGTGGTACTAGTAGTAGACCACCTGTGGCCCCGACTAGTAATCGGAGAAAAAGAAGTAAGGTTTGGAAATTTTTTAACGAAATAGAAGGTACTTGTCACGACCCCAATCCCAGTCGTGATGGCGCCCAACACGATGCTAGGCAAGCCTGACCAATTACCACTCACAATCCCTTCTTATTAGAATTCATTACCAATTTTCAGAAATAGATACCAATTTATATAAGTAGAAGTCTGAAATAAAAGATTGAAATATGTGGAAGGCCATAATGAAATCTCTACAAATGCCCAATGATCTGGTGTCACAAGTTTGAGCCTCTAATACAAGGTTTCAACAGCCTAATGCAGAAATATGTCTAAAATGCGGAATAGTAAAGAAAGATAGAGGGAGAAATCGGGTCTGCGAACGCCATGCAGCTACCTCGATAACTCCGATGAAAACTGAACGGCATGAAAGCTTGCTCTACACCTCAGGGACACCTGTACCTGCACACACAGTGCATGGAGTAATGTGAGTACTCCGACCTAGTGAGTAATAACAATAAATAATGGCTGACGGTATGAAATCACGTAAAGGCACTACGNTTGCGGCGTGCAGCCTGATCCAATATCATATATAATATCCTCACTATTGGGTCCTCAACCCCTCTCAGTCATTATAATCATAGCCTCTCGGGCACAATAATATAAGGTAGGGATCTCAGCCCACATATTTCTTTCATTTATGATTAACATTTCATAACCCAGTTCATATCATTTTTAGACAATTAGAAACATGATTGAGGATATGATTTTTAGCAAATAAGCGAGAAAAACCGGTCAAAAATCCCGNAGTATAAATTCGCTCCTCAAGCATTTCTGTTCATTTACTTATTTCTTACCCTCAATACTCAATTTATATACTTCTCACAATAACCGAAATCGAAACATATATATATACCGCTGTGGCGTACAGCCCGATCCGCATATCGCTGTGGCGCACAGCCCGATCCATAATAATAGTCAACTGCGCTCACTAGGAGTGTGCAGACTCCGGAGGGGCTCCTACAGCCCAAGCGCTATATTGTTGCGACCTGCAGCCCGATCCATATATATATATATATATATATATATATATATATACATATTTGCTGCGGCTTGGACCAAGCTGTTAAGCGTGCTTTGCAAATAATAAGAAGAAACGACCCGATGCTTATCAAGGTTGTCAGCTGTGTTCTTTACGTTTGAGTTATATTCTAACAATGTATTGCTTTTACTCTAAAATGAAGTATTGTCATAGAGGACTAATAGAAATAGCAGAACAAAATGATACAGCTGATGCTCACATTAGTATATGGGTTCATACTTCATAACAAGTAAATCTAGGTGGTGTTAAAGTGCATACCTTTTCCTGTAAACCGCAGGTGGTACTTGCTCGTAGCACCAGAGTTGTGACAGCTGCGGACATTGATCCTTTAACATGGTTAGCTTGCTTAAAGGTGTTGATTAGCTACCTTATAATGATAAACAGTTCACTAGCATAGTATCTTTTCTTTTGCTAAAATATAGAGAATTAAGTCTTGCAGGTTGAAGGAGAAAATGCATATCANGGCACAAGGCCCCAAACATGGCAACTAGCCCAAGTCATGATGACAATACATAAGTCTCAGTAAAAATGTAGTGAAAATATCAATTGGGATGGACCAAGTCACAATCCCCAGTAGAAATGAACCCCACGCTCATCACGCAGCGTGTGTCTCATCTTAGTATAGCACTACGTTGTGCAAAATCCGGGGTTTCAAACCCTCAGGACATCATTTAAAATCATTACTCACCTCAAACTGGCCAAAGCTCTAGCTCGCTATGCCCTTGCCTCTCAAATTGGCCTCCTCGCGCGTCGAATCTGACCAAAATCACAACTAACATGTCACATTATGCTAAAGAAATAATACCCAATCGAAAACAATCGAAAAATATCAAAATTCTCAAAATTGGCAAAACCCGAGCCCCAGGCCCACTTCTCAAAATTCAGAAATTTTTACATCAACAGGTTCCTTATCTCCCCACGAGTTCATACATACCAAAATTTCTCAAATCCGACCCTAAATGGTCCTCCAAATCCCCAATCAAAATCTCAAAATCCCAAGCACTATTTCTTCCATTTTTAGCAAGAATTCAATAATTTTCTAGGTAGATTTCACAATATAAATGAGTTTTAGGTCCGAAATTCTTACCTCCAAACGTTTCTCCTTGAATCCCTCTTCAATCTCCTTCAAAAAGCTCTCAAAATGATCAACTATGGCTGAAAAATGGACCCAAATCGCGGAAAAGAGGACTTAAAAACATTCTGTCCAGGCTTCAACGAGGTGTACCTTGCGCTATGTAGGTTGTACATCCTCTTACCATTTTCCTTGTTGTACACCTTCTGTTAAAATGCCTATAACTCCTTGTGGAAATATCCAAATAACAAACGGTTTGAATATTTAAAAACTAGACTCGATGATATTTCATTTGATTGGTTGTACACCATATAACTCTTTATATATTTCGAGATATAAGCTTCTAAAGTGCATCAAAAAATTCTATCAAAACTGATCTACCAGCCATATTCGATTCATCATAACTTTCTGATAGAATATCCAAATCATGAATGGTTTAACTTTCTGGAAACTAGAATGCAAGATCTACAACTTTATGTTTTGTAATTATTCTGATTCCTTTCATATTTCATGATATGAGCTTCCAAACCGGACTCCTTGCACCAGAAATTTTCTGGTCACAGCTAAAGCTAAACAAAAATCTGCAACTTTTTCAAAGATGAAATAGTCCGTTTAACCACTCGAAACTCACCCGAGGCCACTGGGACCTCAAGCAAAAGCACCAACACATTCTAAAACATCATCCAAACTTGTTCCAATCATCAAAACACCTCAATTAACACCAAAACCATCAAATAACATCTAATTCAAGCCTAAGTTCTTCTAAAACTTCCAAAATACGCATTCGATCAAAAACCCAATCAAACCACGTCCGAATGACCTAAAATTTTGCACACATATCCTAAATCACCTAACGAAGCTACAACAACTCTCGAAATTCCATTCCGATTTCCGGATCAAAATCTCGCATATCAACCGAAAATCGCCAAAATACTAACTTCGCCAATTCAAGCCAAATTCTACACCGGACCTTCAAAACCACTTCCGATCACACTCCTAAGTCACAAATCACCTACTGGAGCTAACCGAACCATCGGAATTTACATCCGAGCCATCTAACTCATAAGTCAATGTCCGGTTGACTTTTCCAACTTAAGCCTTCTTAAAGAAACTAAGTGTCTCATTTCCTACCAAAACCACTTCAAATCAACTCGATCACAAAAAATACGGATAACGAAGCATGAAGAAATAGAAAATGGGGAAAACAGGGCGGTAAATCATGAGACGACGGGCCAGGTCGTCACAGTACTGATAGAGTTAAATGCAAACTTTGTAATTATACTTTTAAACATAAGACTAGAGGACAATTAGGGGGGACTGGAACACTTAGTAAACATATGAAAATTGAGCATCCTATAGAATGGGGATCTGATGGAGATGGAAATCAAGCAACTCTAAACCCTCCTACTGGAGGTCTTATGAAATATGATAAAATGAAGGATCGTGGGGAGTTAGCAAAAATGATTGCTTTGGGTTGTCTACCTTTTTCTGTTGCTTCTTCATCATATCTTATTATGTATATTCAAAGGATTTACAGTCCTTTATTTAAAGGTATCCCTAGAGGTATTTGTAGATCTGATATCTTTAGACTTCATGGACAATATCAAACATACATACATTATTTGTTTAGCCACCTTCCTTGCAGAGTTTCTCTAACTTATGATATTGGCCATGATGTTAATGGAAATGATTATTTGACAATTACATGTCATTAAATAGATGATAATTATTGTATGCAAAAATGTATTATCACTTGTAAATGTGATGAAAATCATAGTCATACTGCTGTGTTTAGAAGTACTACTATTTGTGAAGTTGTTGAATTTTATAATCTCAAGCAAAAAGTATTGTGTATGTCTTTTGATAATACTTCTAACAACAATGCCGCAATTTCATTATTAAAACCACATTTGCAACCACCACTTGCTGAAATTTTTCATGTTAGGTGTGCATGTCATGTTTATAATTTAATTGTTAAAAGTGGCTTTGATTTATTTTCAACTTAGATTACTCATGTTAGAAGAGCAGTTGGTGTTATTCAAGGAAATAATAGGCAATCTAGAATTAGAAAATTCAAGAATAAGTGTAACGAGCATAACCTTAAGCCCAGATTCATGCCAGACGAAATTGTGACTAGATGGAATTATACATATATATTTTCAAGATGTTGCTACAAATATAGATTCTCAATAACTGAAGTTGCTAATGCGAATTGTACTGATCCAAATTGTATGTTAACAACTGCTACTTGGGAGGCCATTAATGATGTTGTTAAATTTTTACATACATTTTATACAACTACTGTTGAGTTTTCTGGAGCATATTACCCTACTGTTACTATGGCTTTAGTACAAATAGCTGAAATTTCTTTTCTACTCTTTGAATTTAAGAAGAAAGAAAAATATAGGGATGTTGTTGAAAAAATATAAGCAAAATTCAGAAAATATTTCTTTCCAATTACTGCGATTACTTAATTGGTGTTGTTTTAAATCCTTCTATTAAGATGTCTCATTGTCACCAATTTATCAATGCTTTATATACTTATATGGAGATTGGACCAACTGAAACCCCATATATATATATATATGTATGTATGTATGAACAAGTCAAATGATTCTTTACAACAATTATATAACTATTATGCAAATATAATTGATGATGTTGCTCTTAATGTTGCCAATGTTAATCCCACTATGCATTGTACCACTTTTACTACTGTGGATGATGAAGAAGGCCTTGATAGTTTTAATACTTTTTCTACATTTTCTAACACTCAGACTAGTAGCAAGAACATTGATGAACTTCAATTCTATTTGCAGAAGCAAAAAGAGCCTCGCACAAAAAATTTTACCGTTGGGATGGTGGCATGAGAATGCAAAGCAATTTCCTACTCTTTCCACTATGGCTCGGGACGTGCTGAATGTGCCAATTTCAATTGTTGCATCAGAGAGTGCATTTAGCCAAGCAAGACAACAACGTGGAGACACCCTCACTCATTGAGAAGCAATGCTTTGGAAGTTTTAGTATATTTCAGAGATTGGATTAGATCGGAAGGAAGAAATCAAGGACGTGAAGATGTTGATAGCCCAGAAGACGAGGAACTTGGAGATATATTAACACATGGTAACCTATCCTAATTTAACACTCCAGAAGAAGGCCACTCAGTTCATATTGATTATGACGAACTTACTAAGGTAATGTAAAACCTTTGAATTTACTCTTTTTTGGTTAATTTACTTGTTGTTAAATGTAAATCTTTCAATTTGTAAGTTTGAATTTTGAAATAAATGTAGCACTTGCAATTTATAAGGGTAGTTTTTTTCCATCTTCATTGTATTCTTTATATTTTTACTTTATATTAATATAACTTATAATAGTTATACAAAATACAAAAAAATTACAAATTACACTAATCCGGCCCGGCCCGGCCCCTTGTACCCATAACCCTTACGGTTTATTTTTTACCCGGATGAACCCGAACCCGTTAAAGCCGGTAATCCCCAATCCGTAACCGACCCGGACCCCAACCCATACGGTTACTAAATTTTCTTACTCAGCCCAGCCCACCTGTTTGACACCCTTAGCTAGTATATAGGTTCGAATAACTTATTCAATACTATTAACCAAGCTAATACACTAGCAACGCTATACTTGGGAAGCAAACATGTAAATAGATGTATCAAACATTTTGTCCAGAAAAATGTTACTAATATCAGTATGAAAAAAAAACATACGCTTACTTTGAAACAGAATGTTGAGAACTATATATTTTCCTGGTCCTAAAGTGGGCTAACAAGGTTTGGACTCTCATTTGACCCGTTTTTGGAAGTAATTACTCGAGTGCATATGTATAGGTTACGTTATTGTCTACCAAAACTCATGGTCAAACTAAGTACCCCACATTGCACTTGAAAAAAGATGTAATTTGTTTTTCCTGTTTCTTCATTTCAAGCTTTTATCAATGATCCGACAAATTCAGGTTGCTTATATGTCCCGATCCCACAATTTCAATCTTAGATAGTTATGGTGACATCTAATCTCTAAGACTAGATAAGCCTAACACATATGAAAATCTAGCAGAAATAACGGCTATGATGTTAAATTAATATGATAAATCTCATAATAACCATTACTGATTGACAATAATACAATTCCCAAAACCGGTAGTATAGAGTCCGGAACTCTAAAGAAGTACACTAGTGAATTTTGAATACAACACTGTTTTGATATGAAAATAAATAGAGGAAAAAAAATAGTAGAAGGGGACTCCGAAGCCTGCGAGCGTCAAGAAGGTATATCTTGAAGTCTCCAAAATATCTGGATCAACTCACTGACGTCCGACACGAGTAGAAGTACCTGGATCTGCACAAAAAATATGCAGAAGCGTAGT